GTGGGCGCTAACAAACCATTGAACATGGATGGTGCTCGTGCTCCGTGCCAGTGAAGCCTAACATATTACCTTACCTGTTGCCTGCCATGAATAATTTTCGAAGGGAGAGCACCATCGAACTCTCACCACCCTCCATCGCAATGAGGCTGGATCTTACCGTGGTGCGATGGTTTGTGTACCTCAGCGATCCATTGAGCTATGCTGGGTGGTGCTTTTGCACCTTCAGAGTCACTCATACCAGATTGGTCAATGGTTAGAGGCCAGACAAACTCAGCCTCCTGGTCCTCCAGGTTGGGGGTTGGAATGAGGGTGGCACCTTATTCCTTAAAACAGACTCCTTGTAGCCCAACGCCAAATCCGCTGCCTTGCGGTTAGGTTTTTGAACCAAAGGCTTTGGTTGAGAACCCTAATCGTTCTCCTGTCTAGGCCTGGGCAACCTGACAGTATCCTGCCCACGCAATACCATGAATATTATCTCAAACAAATTTCTGATGCTCTGGCCACCGCAGAGGATAATCAACGGTGCCCTATCTGCTGCATCGAGCAGGGTGGATAGGGGTTTGGATGCTACTGCTCAAGCCTTCCCGTCTTCTTATTCCCCATCTCACGCTTTTTCACTCTTACCGTCCCCTTCCAACTTCACTTATATCCCCCCAGTTTTCAACCCCCGATTCTTGGCCCTCCCCCAACATGCTTTGCTAGGCATTTATCTTCTAATTTCAACTCACATGTGCACGCGGAGCGTCACTCCTCTCCTGTCGACAAGCCCATGTCCAACCAAGCGGTCCATTCCAGTTCATCGGCTTCCATTTGGAGCCCTCGATCCTCCTTCAGATTAGCATGCCTCAACGTACGCACATTAGTACAGATCGGTCAACAGGCAGCACTTGCCCGAACATTGGAGACCCTCTCGATCGATATCTGCTGCTTATCAGAGACCCGCCTGCAAGACTCGAGCTCTGTGCTCACTCCGCGATCCCCTTCAGGTGACGCAAGCAGTATTTTCTCAGTGCGCCTATCCGGTGACGATGCCGCTTCGAGCACCGCCCAACCTGGTGTTGGTATTGCCCTGAGTCCCCGGGCTGAAGCTACTCTGGTTGACTGGATTCCAATCAGTAGCCGGATGTGTGCGGTCCGATTGGCTGGCTCGTTCAAAGCTTCGAAGTCGCGCGGGACTAATAGGTGTCTATTCATCATCGATGCCTACGCGCCCACAAACTGTAGCAAGGATTCGGTAAAGAACGACTTCTACCGCCAACTGACTCAGCTCCTTCGCCACAGAAGAAGCACGGACACTGTTGTGCTGGCGGGGGATATGAACGCACAAGTTGGAAAGTTGTCCACTGATGAAATGCATCTGGGCAGTCAGCACGGTGTAGGCTCCCGCAATGATAATGGTGAGCGGTTACTTCATTTGTGTGAAGATGCTCGCTTATTTCTTGCGAGCACTAATTTCCGACACAGCACCCGCCGGAGGGTGACTTGGCGCCCACCTGCCTCGAACCAGCCTTGGACGCAGATCGATCACATTGCTATTAGTTACCGCTGGAGAGGCTGCATCCAGAATTGTCGCTCGATTTGGAGCACATGTGTGGACACCGATCATGCACTTGTATGTGTTGACCTGCGGATGCGCTTTGGCGGACGCCCACGACGACGCTGTGAGCGCATTGACACCAGCCAACTGACAAAGTCAGCTGTTCTGAATGCGTATCGAAGTACGCTGACATGCGAGCTAAGTAAGCGCTCATTGAGTACCATTGATGGTCACTGGTCGCATGTTCACCAGACGTTATTAGCAGCAAGCAAATCCTCATGTGGTATGTCTAATAGCCGACATGGACATTGGGGCTCTTCTCGGTCTCTGGAACTTATCGACGCTCGCCGGCATATCCCGGATGGAAGCGAGCACAATGAAACTCGCAAAGAGCTCCGGGCAAAACTCCGCGCTAGCCTGAAGAGAGACCGCGAATCTTGGTGGTCTCATCGTGCACCAGAGATGGAAGTGGCCGCTGCCCTTGGCAACCATCGTAAGTTATTCTGTCTGATACGGGAAACGGGCAGCAGGAGACCTGGTGTTAGTGAAACAATTTGTGAGGAGAGTGGACAGCCTATTCACAATTTGTCAAAACATTTGGAGCGTTGGACTGAGCATTTTGAAAAGCAATTTAATCGGCTAGATTTGTTCGATTCTTCGCTGGCGAGTGATCGCCCTGCTCCGTGGGCTGTCCCTTTGGATCCACCCTCTCGCTCAGAATTCGAACGTGAGATCGGACTGTTGAAGTTGAACAAAGCCGCGGGACCAGATGATCTTCCTCCAGCCCTCTTCAAATTCGGAGGCTCTGCTCTTGTTAATGCTTTACATGAATTACTAGTGAAAATGTGGGAGCAGGAGACTGTCCTAACCGACTGGAGCCGCTCCGTTATTGTTCCCATCTTCAAAGGCGGCTCGCGCTCGGAATGCGGCAACCATAGAGGAATCAGTCTGATCTCCATCGCCTCCAAATTATTCGCCTCCATAATTCTTCACTTACTGACTGGCGCTCGTGAAAGCCAGATTCGTGAGGAGCAAGCCGGGTTTCGTCGTGGTCGTGGCTGCATCGACCACATCTTCACCTTGCGTCAGTTTTTGGAGCACCGCCACACATATTGGCGGCCCACCGTTGTCGTGTTCCTCGACATCAAAGGTGCCTTCGATTCGGTTGATCGATGTGCCCTTTGGAAATGTTTACTCAGGAAAGGTGTGCCAGAGAAATATGTAAATAATATCCAAGCATTACACGCGGGTAGCACGGGCAGAGTGAGGGCTTACGGCAAGCTGTCGCCACCCTTTAATATCTCCAGCGGTGTGAGACAAGGATGCCCGCTGTCACCTTTCCTCTTCAACTTCGCGATTGACGAAGTCATGGAGTTTGCATTTACAGGACATGACTTGGAAGGTGTGGAGCCACTCCCAGGGGAACGACTTCTTGACTTGGAGTATGCAGACGACATTGCCCTCATCTATGACAGCTCATGAACGTGCCAAGCCGCGCTGGACAGATTAGCACTGGCTGTCCGTCACTTCGGGCTTTGCTTTGCACCATCGAAATGCAAAGCATTCCTCCAAGATTGGCAGGGATCGCCTCCTGCGCTGACCGTTGGTGGGGATCAGCTAGAAGTCGTTCGGAAATCCAACTACCTGGGAAGTTGTATCAGCGCCCTTGGGATCGAAGACGAGATCACGAACCGTATAGCGAAAGCTCGAAGTGCTTTTGCTAACCTTCTTCACCTATGGCGGCGGCACGACGTTACTCTCGCCCTGGAGGGTAGAGTGTACAATGCAGCGGTACGTTCGACCTTACTGTACGGTTGCGAAAACTGGCCCCTAAGGTCGGCGGACTTGAAGAGGCTAGCTACGTTCGACCATCGGTGCCTTCGCAGTTTGGCTCACATATGGTGGGAACACCATGTGAGTAACAAGCGTGTTCGACGCATTGTTTACGGCCCAGGAAAAGGATCTGAACCGCTCAGCACCGTTATTTCCAGCACCAGGCTCCGATGGCTCGGCCACGTTTTGTGCATGCCAGCCCACCGACTCCCGCGACGTGCGTTGTTTGCTCACCGGGGATGTGGGTGGAAGAAGAGGAGAGGTGACCAAGCGATGACTTGGTCCAGGGGAATGAAGTCCATCACTTCGGAGCTAGCCTCGGTTGGGGCTTCACGGCTCCCTGGTTGGGGTCCAAAAGACCGTGGACACGTTTGGCTGGATACACTTGCTGACATGGCAAGGAGCCGACCTCAGTGGCGTTCGTGCTGTGAGTTTCTTTGTCCCTCCCCATCCCTTTTAGTCTCCCCCTCCATCTACGATCTCATTTCCTGGGGTAAAACAATAAAAAAACATTTTCTTTTTGCCTTGTAGCTGGCTGGTAGCTTACCGGAACGATGCCTATCCGTTGCTGGTAGCTCAGCTGGCATGCAACTGTTGTAACTATTTTTCCTTTGTGCATTGTATTATATGTATGTATGTATTTCTTTCATGTATTGCGGCACAATAGCGGGGGTGTTTTCCACCTCTAGCTGATGTGTATAATGATATAATGATGACACCACCCTCCGATAAGGTACACACTGCAACTGAGTTTGACATCCAACCATTGATCTGTCTGTTCTGAATAATTTTGAAGGCAATTGGAACGTGCAAATTGTCATGGCCCAGTGAATCGCCGATGTGAGCAAACCATCGCATTAAGATTCAGTTTTGTCTGCTCATTGTAACTCTCTGAGAATTAAAAAGCTGTTTTCGTCTTATATTCGGATATGTTTACGCACATAAATAGATAGCGATAGCGACTGCGAAATCCCACTATAAAATTCAGTTATCCGAAAGGTAGCCTCATCGCGTCCCGTTTCTTCGCTTTTGCCTTCCTCGTCGTTAGTCCGATTTGGCAGTTCATCTATAATTTTAATTTACTTATCACTCAGGTTTATACAAGCTGTCCTTGTCATCATATTTTCAACTAAGAAGGATGCACAGGCTCTAATTCGTCTCGATTTTTCGATGTTTGGTTGGATTGAATCTTCGTTCAAACTGTTCGGTGCAATCCCATTTGACTTTACTCACTCCCTCATCCATTCATGCTCTACCTACTCAATCAGTTACGAGATGGTCAGATGGTGTTGTGGAGGAAATATGGAGGGACTGACCGGAACAAACTTTGATTCTTGTCAACACTCCGAATGGTGTTGATCGAGTTGTAATTTCCGATATACTCGTGGTTTTTACGACTCCACGACATTAAACTTCCTGCTTCCGAATAGTGATCTTACAGTTCATACCGGTTTGCCATGGCAGAATTTTCCGCCTTACGCCTGTGTTCCACTTATTTTCATTGTCCTACTCTTTTATCACATGTATTAGAACTTGAGCAATTCTCTCTCCTTACCTTATGTTTCAACAGATTCTCGATGGATGCAGACGAATTCCAAGTCCTGTGTTGTCTGGTACATTATAGATCATAATGGCAGCGACAGCCTCCGGCGCAACAACAGGACCGCCGGTTGAGTCCAACCAAATCGAGGCTAGTTGTTCTAACACTCCCGAACCGATCATTGCTAACTATCAATGTGGACTTCTTCGTTGGCGACCCAGTTGCTTAAAGCGTGCCGCGAATATACACGCATTCCTTGCTGCTGCATGTTTTATTTCTTGCTTACAAGCCGCCCACTCCGGTTACTACGCTTCTCAGGTGACTACCCTTGAAAAGCGGTTCGCCGTTGGTAGCAGCGTGATAGGAGCCGTGAATTCGTTCTTCGAGATCGGTTACATTATTTCGGTCGTTTTTGTTAGCTATGCCGGTAGTCGCGGTCACGTTCCGGCTTGGATCTCACTTGGTTTATTCATTATGGGCGTCGGAGGATTCCTGTGGGCTCTGCCTCATTTTATTTTCCCCCATTCATCAGCCGGCGCTTTCTATTCACTGGATCCCTTATGTTCTGTCTCCTCCAGTGCAGATAACTCCACATCGTGTGCACAACAACAGTCGAGTGGTTTTGCCTTTTTGATTATTTTCTTTGTGGCCCAATTGCTCATTGGTTCAGGCTCCAGCCCTATTCTCACACTTGCTCCGCCATTTATCGATGATCATGTTCATCCCTCCAGAGCACCTCCGATGATCGGTTAGTCTCCTTCGTTCTTGTGTGTTGTTTTGCTAATGTTTTTGTGCTTTTTTTGACCGATTTCAGTGGTTTTCTGACACTCACTGACGACTAGCATCCTATTTGGTAAAACTAGTCAATTTTCTTCTCACCTCATCCATAAACGAGGATCGAATTCGGTCTGCTTATGGTCACCGGTAGCATCATCTATTCTATGCGCCTATAGTATGGACTTATCGGCTGGGAGATTGGTTAAACCAGCATCATAATGTTCACCATCTCATATAGATTGTCCAGATCAATTTTCATTTACCAATGATGTCTTGGCGCTGAAGATATTCGGTAGTGGTAGGATTTTGTCAATTAGCTGACGTGGCCAATTTGGGCTAGCTGCAGCACATCACTGGGATTTCATTCGGTCGACAAGTCTCATTATCCATGATTTGGTGCCATACGATTCGTTCTGTTTAGTTATTCCTTCCTTCCTGAGTTCAGGCAATCGCAGCACATATATCCTCGTATAATTTCTTGCAGTCTAGGATGTGCCTGCGTACCTCCTAGGTTCCTTGAGTTATACTGGGTGGTGAAGGGCTTCTGTGATCTCTAGCTTGAGCAACAGCAGCTACGGCATGATTGAATTTCCGTCTTGTTCAGCGACCTTTAAATAGCCCTCATTGGTTTCCTTTCATAACGGCTTTTTTACCGTATTGTCATGTAAATGTCCGTAATTCCGTGCCTTCATACGAATATCAGCTTGCACAAAAACATAGCGGGATAGCTCCAAATGAGCCGGAAACCATTCTGTATTTCAATGACATCTTGGTTTTCATGGACATTTTCTCTTTAAGATACCATAGTTACCTATTATTTGCGAAATTTCAGAGGGGCACTTGTAAATCCTGCACTGAGTTCAGGTTCCTGATACAATTGATCCCTCAGACAGAATCCTCAGAACTTGGCTACCCGATCCGGGGCGACCCGTGGTTTATCGGGTCTTAATTGCGACGTGTTTGAGCAAATACCAAAGAATCGGAGTTATCATCACCAGATTTTCGGGAGAGACTTGGACTGCGAATCCTTTGGCCTGGGTTATCGCTTTAGCTGAAGAGTATTTTCGGAGCAAACCATCACTAAAGAGCCGTCGTTTTAGAAACATCTTTTCTCTGCTAGCCGTCATTTGTCTTGTGTCAAGCCTCCACGATCGCAACAAGTTACTGGGACAACGTCTTAGCTCGTCTCTTACCCAGATCTAGAATCATTTGTACACTCAGCTGACGGTAGCCGCTTAAAAGACTGTACTTCCAAGAACTCGGTGTTATAAAACTTGGTATCTTCTCAGATGAAGAGGTTTCACTTGTCTCCGAATACTTCACCGTTTTACTTATGAATGGAAGGATTTTGGTGAGTATTTTTGTTCGTCGCAATCAGCCGACAATTCAGATATGTCGACCAGCTGTCCGGAAAAGCACCAAACGGCCGTTTCGCCCTATTGGGGCTCATCAGTGGTGCGCATCCTTCGGTCCTCTGCGGAGGATCGAACCCATGACTGCTAGTGGCTCTTGCCAACTAGCCCGCAGCTTATGCAACTGCGCCATGGAGGACGGTATCCGACCATCAAGAATTGTTAGCTAAATGCGATATAGCCCGACGCATCCTCCACTGCCATGCAGGCACCTGCCATGCAGATGACAGCGGTCGGCCTTCCGGCGTCAGGATGCGCACCACTGATGAGCCCCAATAGGGCAAAACTGCCGTCTGGTGCTTTTCCGGACAGCTGGTCGACATATCTGAATTGTCGGCTGATTGCGACGAACAAAAATACTTCACCGTTTTCTTCATTCCTGTGTTTCATCCAAATGATTAAGGTCTTGACTGCGTAGGATATTTCGGACCTTATTTCCGTTCCAACAATCAGTTAGTTTCCGATGCGCATTAACACCTTTTCGTCTGCGGTCTTTTTCAAACCCACCCGTGCTAAATGGGACACTTCGTAATGCCGGCCCGTTGCCTTGGGGATCAAAAACTTGCTTTCTAAGTCTAAGATTGCGGGTTTGAGCCTGCATAGGGGACCGAGCGACCCTCGCAGTATCCTTGGCCTACGTGCGACTGGCAGTGGTTTCGCGACAGCGAAGCATGGGTACTGTGTATCGGCGTACTGCTGATACTTTTTTTCCTTCATAGTGCGTTCGCTGACGACTATATAGGGAAATTTGGAACAGCGAGCTCGTCCCACTTCGATATCTTTCGCGCCGTTCATTGTTCATATTTGGAACTTAACTCCAGTCCCTGATATATTGTTCTCCGACATCGTAAGACAGGAGGCTTCAGGCAAGAAGCCAAGCCGATCGACAAATTCTAACTAGGGTAATATCGTACCCAGTTAGGAAAGACGCACACGCCGACCATGCCAGTAGGACTGACAAGTTAAGTCAGGACTATACCCAGAACGACATAGTATGTTGCATACGTGACTACGCATTGAGCCTTCTCCTTAATCTTCAGGAAATCAGGCGATGTACTAGAGCTGTAGAGAAGCCGCTGACTGAACACCCCTCACAAATGCGGTATGTAATATCATGCTGTCCAGTTTTGAGAGGTTTGAAGCAAACGCCTCTCCCTTGACCACCTTCGAGCTGCGAAATTGGGGCAATTCATGATGTCTTGGTTCCGTTTTCAAATAAAACAACCGTCGTAGGAGTGGGATTACTAATCTGTTGCAGAGTTAATTGGGAAGCCACTCTGAGTTTGGGATCCGTAATACTCGGGTGTTCGGAAACATGGTTGGGCACACTTGCTGATATGGCTAGGAGCCGACCTCAGTGGCGTTCGTGCTGTGAGTTTCTTTGTCCCACCCCATCCCTCTTAGCCTCCCCCTTTAACCATGATCTCATTATTTAGCTTTATATAATTTCGCATAGTATTTTTTGATGCACAGTAGCCGGCTGTTAGCTTACCGGAACGATGTCCATCCGTTACCGGTAGCTCAGCCGGCTTGCACCAGTAGCATTCTTTTTTTTCTCCTTTTTTTCTGTGTATTGCGGCACAGTAGCTGAGGTGTTCCCCACATCTAGCTAACGTGTATGATGATGATGATCGGAAACATGGCTTCACCTTTCCTTATCATTCTCTAGCTGTCCGAGCCTAATACGAACTGTACGAGCACGGAATTCTACTACTTTTCTAAGGTCCGCAAATGTGCGCTCATTCGCTTCAAGTATCCGACAGTGAACAAACTCCGCCCGCTTATGTTTCGTCGATTTCGGCGTTGCCCGTACTATTTCCTCTTGAGTACTAGTAGAATTCATATCAGCGCCGTAGTTCATCGTTCTAGCTGCCATTTCAGATATTGCTTCGGCTTATTCGAAACTGTCTTCGCCCCGTCTAGTAAACTGTCCAATTGTGAGCGCGCAGTATAGTGGGGTTTACTAAAGTGATATTCCAAAACCTTTCGTGCTCTCCTATAGCCTTCGGCCGTGGGCCGCATCACACATTCGCTGATGACCAGTATCGCGCTCCCTCGACAATAGTGTACGAGATATATAAGACGCCTTCCTGAGCCTTCCACTTTGTTTTCCACGTAGACTTCAAACTGCTTTATGAATTCCAAATAACCTACCGAACGCCTGTTAAATTGCGCCAACTCAACTCTGGGTTTGTAGGGCGTGTGCGACTGTTGCAGTCACTGCAGCTACCCTGCCACCTGACTCAACATCTGTCTGCGCCACTGGGCTTTTATTGACAGCAGCTATGCAGTCTTTAAACCAGTTATCCTCCCGTGATACATTGTGCATCGGTAGTTAAGGATCGACATGAAATCCTCATCCGTCCTCTAAGGCGGTCTGAAGCCTAGCTATTTCTACTGCTTGGGCTGCCTTAAGTAACTCGCGGTGTTGCCTAATTTAGAGTTGTTTGACTTCTATTTCTTATTCTACATTAAGCTGCTTCTCTTTCAATCTCGCCAATAAAATCTGTGAGCGCCTTACGGCTAGCGATCTTATTGTTAACATTGGAGCCAGAGTGAAGCAACATCAAACGCGACTTGCCTCGGTTGTTCTATCTCATCCGTAGACTTCGACACTTAAGTAGTATTGAAAACGATCCCAAAAATCTAGTAACCTCTGACTGAGTACTGTAGCGTTCGCCGGTCTGATATTGAATGACGCGTGGCCCTTAATCCTGAAATCGGACCAACTTTGGATTGTTATATCTATACACTATTACAAAATATAGAGTCAGCAAACGTAAAACTTTTAACCACTCAGGATCCCATTTTATCACCCTGGTAAAGCGATACAATTACACTGGTTGGGTAGGTCACCGTGGTTGTACGGCAGCAACGCAGTTTGAATGACTGATGTACTGTTATCGATGCTGCTACTGATGCTAATAATACTGGTTGGGAGGCCATCGTAGCCACTGTTCAAAGCAGACAGCCAGAAAACTTGCTTTCCGAACTACTGTCTGGCTTGTCTAACTACCTCCTCATGGTGCCAGTTGGGTGGTTCGGGTGTACCCCATTCCAGAAAAGTGTTCGGCGACAATGTTCCACCTCCGTGGGGCATTGTATTCCAGTAATTGTGCTGAATTCATGGGGAGTATTGGGCCCCTATTTGGTAATCTACCAAACAAAGGCGCATGAACTGATCATTCAGTCAACGCCTCACAATAGGCGCGATTCCCCAAATTCGCCCCGTTGCCTTGCATGTAGGTTATCTAGCCAAAGACTCGGGGTGGACTCCCCTAAGTCAACTCCCTACTTCGACTTGGGCAACCGGGTAGTATCACGCCCTCTCGCAAAACCATGGACTCTATTACAACGTGCACATCAGCTGCTGTTTCTGCTAGTCACTTTTACACGACTTCATCACACACCAATTGTTTGTTTGCTAACAATCCTCACTTTCCGTTACCCGATTCATGTGTTCAACAATCTGGCTGCGATTCCGGTTGCTCCGCAGACCAAGGAGTTCAACCTATGGCTCTCCTTCGTCCCCGATCCTCGTTCCGTCTGGCATGCTTCA